CCCCCCCATGCACCAAAGGGTTGAGGGTTCGATTCCCACTCAAGGGCACATACCTGGGTTGCAGGTTCCATCCCTGGCTCTAGTTGGGGTGGGTGCAGGAGGCAACCGATCACTGTGTCTTAAATCAATGTTTCTCTCTTTCCTTCTCTTTCTCTCCCCCTTCCTCCCTCCCTTCCACTCTCTCTAAATATCAATGGGAAAAATATCCGAGGATGAGGATTAACCAAAAACAACAACAAAAAAGGAAATAGCCCAGGGCAGAAACACAAGAGGCCTTTGAAAGCAGTATCTTGAAAGAGCCCTTGAGGCTTTGGCAACTGTTCTGCATGGCTGCGTGGTTAGTTCCATCAGCAAAGTGAAAGAAAGATTTCTAAAGTATGGTAAGTAGATGACCAGATAAATGGTCTGCTAGCAAATTCAAAATTATCTCAGTTTAGATAATAAATGTCCATGAGAAGTAATAACTTTATTACTTAAGGCTGCTTTCAATGTGAACAGAACTATACCAAAACCCAAACAAAAATAAATGGTGTCACCCTAGATATTAATAGGAAAAATATCTCAAGTTGTATTTTTTACACTTAATTCACTTCCTGTTCTTTCATCCTTTATAACAACAATCTTATACCGTCTCATATGACTTCAACATCGGACATTTTAGCAGAATGAGTCAGGATCCTTTCTAATTAAATTTCTATGGTTACATACATGTCTGTCATACATAAAAACCAAACTCTTCCTTCTTTAAAACAAAAATATAAGGCATTTATTTGGTTCCTAAAACTCCACCAACATTTGAGAGAATTGGTGGTCACTCCCTGATGCCAAGAGACAGTACCAAAAAAAAATAGAAAGGCAGCAGAAAAAGGGAAGAAAAAGGCAAGGGCAGCTAACTAAGGGATGACAAAGGAAGAGGCTTTGGGTGAACACACCTGGAGCATCTGGAACCAGAGTGGACTGCCCGGGAAAATCCCACTTTTGCCGCTGAAATTCCCCAAACTGTCTTTGGGTTTGGATTTTGATTTATTTCTAAGAAGCACTGCTGCTGTTTCAGATTTCCTTACCAAGGCATCTTCTTTTCACCCTTTCCAGCTCATGCACTCTTCTGGCCGACAGCACCAGAGAAACTCCTAGTTTAGACAGCTGGTAAGCCAGCTCCTCGCCAATCCCACTGGATGCTCCAGTCACCCACACCACCATGTCGGTCAGCTCCCATTCTATTGAGAAAAGAGCGAGGGTTGAGGGGGGAAAAATAAGCTGTGAATCACACCCAGATCCAAAGATTAGCCAAAAAAAGGGGGGGGGGTTTAAACAATACCCCTAATTGTGAAGATATAATGTGTGGAACTTAAAAATTTAAATATCCCGTTTATGGCCTTGCTTGTGGTGATGGTCTCACAGGTGTATACTTATCTCCAAACTCATCAAGGTGTATGTATTAACTGTGTGCATTTTTATATGATCAACATACCTCAATAAAGTGATTTAAATCTTTTTAAATTAAATATCCTAAGAAAACAACTCCTACCCAATAAAAAAATTTTTAAAAAGCATGAATACAAATCATATCAGTAACAGCAACTCATTCTTTTGTGTATTCCAGACTCTTGGGGGAGTTTTCCAGACTTCACTTCAAGGTAAGCCTTAGAACTCCACGGTGTGACTTCAAGGCTCTACTAACCTATGTATTTCATGGAGAAAACGGAAGGTAAGTGAGTAGAAAGTCTGCCTAGGCTCACATTCTCACTTTCCTTCTCCACAAAAGGAGGGATTCAGGTAAGATGATCACCCAAGGTCCCACCCAGTTTCAGTTCTATGATTCTAATTTCTTGCGATGGAAGTATTGATAATGAATCTGAATACGCTAAGTTCTACTCTATGGTATGGTGGAGCCACCCTGGACTTTTAAAGTCATGTTTTCCCCAACTGTGAGCATACCTGATGCCTATCAGGTACAGGTCATTTCGCAAAGGCGTTCCCCAAATGCCTGCGCTCTCGCCTTAGGAGGTGCTGGCAGTCTGCCCGCTAAGAAAAGCACAGGCCAGGGAGTGAAATGCCCAGCTCTGCCTGCCCGCTCGGGTGCTGCCAAAGACGGTAAAAATGGTGAGTAATAAAGGAACGGCGAGTGGCTTATTCTCCTTGTGTCCAATGAAAGTGTATTTGCACTGCAGGAGACGACAGCCACTGTCTACTTAAAATCGCAGCGTCACTGTCACAAAACGTTCCTCTGTGCCTTTTATTCATTAAAATATGTGTGATTTAGCAAAAACAGCAAGCCAGGTATCACTTAACATACGTATTCCTGGTTTCCAATTAGAAAAGTTAAAAATCAGGGAACAAGTTTACTATTTCAGTCAAGCGATTCCACAACCTGTCAGGCTGAGAGTCTGAGCTCCGGACACAGCCAGGGTTCGAATCCCAGCTCCACCGCACACGGCGGTGAACCGCTCCTGTGTGAGCTCGGAGCCTTACTCTTCTACAACTGGAAAATGGGATTCATAATAAAAACCCCTCCACAGGTTGTTGAGAGGAATGAGTTAAAATGTGTAGAGTTCCCAGAGCTGGGTCTGACACATACTCGGTGCTTTATAAAATGTCAAGTGTAATTATTGCTAAAATTCTTTAACAAATGGACGTTTTGACAGCAAAACATAAGATATTCACTCAATAACTTGTGTGTTCCAATTTCTCCAGCCAAGGGCAAAAGGGTTACTAATGGCTTAACGTTTTCTTGTTACTTCCTATGTGTTTAAATGCATTACCTATTGACACCCTCCCAAGAACCTTATAAAATAAGAATTATGTCAATTTTATAAAAAAAGGAAACAGGTTCAGAGAAATTCATTTACCCCACCAGACTATAAACTCCCTTAAGGCCGAGACCTTGTGTGCCTTGTTCCTTGCTGCGTCCTCGGGGCCTAGTACACTGTACTATAAAAAACTGTGGAATGAACACCCGAGAGCCCTAGCAGAGCTGGGGTATGAGCCCAGGTACACCAAGCTCCATAATCCACACTGACCACTAGTCTATGATGCCCACATTTTAATATGATCAATATGTTAAAACCCAACTGTTTCTTAGCCATTCAAGAAAAAGCAACTTGTCCTCAGTAAAGAGGTTCTGTGTAAATATCTGAACTAAGGATGGAAACATCCCAAATACCATGTCTAGGCTACCCAGCTTTCCCATCATTTAATGTGCTTTCACAGAAAGGCACAAATGAGCCCCCTTCCTGAAGGACTTTCTCAGGAATGGCAAAATGTATATTCAGAGAGCCATTTATTCATTCATCAACCACTCATTGTTCCAAAGTTCTGCAATCCTCAGACTCTAGGGTAAATACAGGTTATTTGTAACTATTTACTAACTAGCATAGCACTAACAAAGATTTCATTTTTACCCCAATATGCAAATGTTATTTCAGTCCAATGAGGAAAACCCCAGGTTCATGTTTACCTTAGTACACCTGCAGTTCTGGAACCTTCCTAGAGAAGAAAACCTTTTTTTTAGCACCAACTTTTGCTTGCCAATTCCACAGGATCTGGCATACACAGTGGCCTCCCTCAAAAGCCTCTGGAAGCAGATTCTCGAGGTTGAGAGGAAATTTATGGTTCAACCCCAAACCCAGTTTGAGAATTCTCTCCTCAGGTTGACTAGCCTCTACTTTATTCCCTCACAGGAGGAGGAAGCTAGTTACCTCTGAGACACTTGCTCCTTTTGGGGACCAGTCTAATCATTCAAGGAGTTCAAGGATTCTGACATCGATGGGCTATACCTTTAACTTCTCCTGGCCAGCATCTGACGCCCTGTGGCATCAGAAAGAGTAAATCAAGCCTGCCTTGCACATGACAATCCTGCATTTATTTGAAAACAGCTGTCATGTCTTCCCGAAGTCCTCTCCTCTCTCGCTTCTCGAAGGCTACATAATACATAAACACCTCCAATTTCTGCTACCTTCCCTCAGATGACATGGAATCAGGTTTCCACACTCTTCCGCTCACACCCCTCTGCACAAGCTCTAGTTGGTCGATGTCCCTATTGAAGGGAGCTGGCCTGAGCAGGACACGGGATTCCCACGGGGTCTGTACAGTTCAGAACAGGGCGAGATGACTGAACTGCTTCCCTTGTCCCCCAGAAGACAGGCTGTGTGAGGGCCTGGACAGTGGCTGCATCAGTCACTGCTGGGTCCCCAGTGCCCAGCACAGAGGCGGACACAAGTTACAGAAGACATCTGTTGTTGTTTGCAGTTTGTTACTTCAAGACACTAAATATCTCCCAGGCTTGCCTAACTTTTCCGGCATTCACTTCACTAGTGGACCTATATTGAGATTACTGTCAACTAAAACCTGAGTTTTCCTCACATGTGCTGCTGTTGAGACTCCCTACTCTGGACTTGTGCCATAGATTTTTTTCTGGATCAACGTGCAGCATCTAAAATTAGTCACCCTTAAATGTCATCATGTGAGATATATGCTTGGAAACACAGACAATTTCTCTAGAAGGACACATAGAAGGTGGGAAACGGTGGTTGCCTCCAGGAAGGCATACTGCGTAGCTGGAGGACAAGGCTGGGAAAGAGCTTGACTTTTCACTGTATAACCTTTTGTATTTTTAACTTTCTATTATGTGAGTATACTGTTCATTTTCTAGTAATAAAAAATAATAAATCTCCAGAGAACTTAAGGAGGATAATTTTTTTTTTCACCTTGATAAGAGTTTGCCCATCTTTCCAGTCTGAGCTGTTCTGTTGTTATCACCCCTATCCACAGGAGTCCTGTAAGTCATTTTTTTCCCTAATAACTCCCCCATGGAATTTTAATTCCACTGATATACTATGTATCTGTTTATGTACTGTATGTATATCTGTGGTTTATACATAAGTTCTATAAAGTTTACTCCAGCAAGAATGGCCGAATTTAAAAATTAAAATCTTTTAACATTTAACTTAACTTTATATCTGTATTTGCTGAATAACTTTTAATGCAATGTGTTTACTTAAATAACATATTAAACTACATATGCAAATTAGCAAATTATATACCCACATAATAGCAATGTAATTAAATGTATTTAAAATCCTCCAAAATTATTTTTCCAGTAAAAAACATTGAAAAAAACAAAGTTCTTCAAATTTATGTTTAGTAACTAAATTTATGTTTAGTAACTAAATTTATGTTTAGTAATTAAATTAACTTTTAATTTTTGCTTGAAATGTGAAAATACCTTTTAATTAAGTAGCCGCTAGATGTTGTCAACATTTTCAGGGCTTGATATAATTAGCGGGTTGGATAACTTTTTAGAATTAAATAACAAAATATAAACTATTTCTTTGTACTTCTCAAAGTCCAAGTTAATGCAAAATTACTGAGGATCAAACATAAACATCCACACAGCAGCCAGTAGGCAGGTGCGTGCCATCTCCTGAGATGGATCATACTATCAAGGGAGAGTCTGCAAATCACAGCCATCAATCTGCCATAGTTTTGCAGCACTGACCTTGCATACACACATATGAACTTGATAATGTCAGTGTTGCACTTGTTATACTCTGCCCCGCGCCCCCCCCCCCATAAAAAGAATGAGAGAAATGAAATACCAAAGAAGAAGGTTTTGTCAGGTAGGGTTGAGCTTTGGAGGGACACACTGTACCCTCTTAAGATTTTTGGTCCCCAAGAACCAATTTTCACACCCATGGAAGCAATACTGCTTCCCTTCTCTCCTGGCCCCATTTTGAAAGCACAGCAGCTCTCACTTCCAATCAAACTGCCTCACATGATGAATCTTTTCATACAGGAAACTTGGTCCAGGGAAATCCCACTTCCCCCGCCTTCATGGATCCAAAGCCTAACTTTGGGCAGGTCATTAAATTTCTATGAATATTAGTTTCCTACCTGGAAGATAAGATTAGCAAAGCTTACTTTGTACGAGTCCTTGTATAAAAATAAAGGTCACGTGTGTAAAGGGCCAAGCACACTGCTTAGCACATAAGAATGTGTTTAGTAAACGACCAGCAAATACTAAGGAGGGCACAGATGCAGGCGGGGCAGGCAGAATGCCCCCTTAGTATGCCAATAACGAAATGCCAACTCAGTTCTTTCTGGGGTTATACTTTTATATTCCAATGAGTAAGTAGGTGGAGAAATCCAGATGATGTGGAGAAAGAAAGGACGTTTTAACTGCTCTAACTAAAAATGAGTAACCAAAGGAGAATACAGAGCCTTTCAAATTCCTCACTGGGCAAATTCCATGGGGTTAATCACACATACTTTTCAACAGTTTCAACATTAAAAGTAAACGGTTATAGAAAGCAGTGCCTGTTCTTTCTTCATCCTGGTAAGAGTTTGCCTTGAAGAATAAATGTTTCCAAAGTCTACTTCCAGATTGCCCGATGTCACAGGTGGACGTCCCAACCTTATCTGTACGTCCTTCCCAGCTGACGGGAAACCGCTCATCCCTGACCACACGCACTTCTCCACTCC